TGCAAGGGTGGCAAGGAGTGATTCTGTTCGAGAGAAGGGGCGAGCTCAGGAAAAAATCCCCAAGGCACCACCTGTGACAGAAGGGGGTGGTATGAAAGTTCCCGGGCCAAGGGTGGCTTTTATTTTTCTAAAGTTGGTTCAGAGAGAGTTATTTTTATATATATATATATATATATATACATGTATATAGGTTAGTTCTTTCATCATTGGAGGTTATTGAGAACAGCAATGCACTCATCCCTGGACAATGGACAAGGTCTTCAAGGTGCGGAAGGGCAGGAATGGGCAAGGTCTTCAAGGTGCGGAAGGGCAGGAATGGGCAAGGTCTTCAAGGTCAGCGATTCCCCTGTCCAGCACGACCCCACACCACACAAAACGCGAGCACCACCATACCTTGCCAGCTGGCGAGTCCTCACTGGCTGGGTCGCCCTTGTACTCGCTAAGAGCTTTCTCAGCGCAGATATGAGCGTGCACCACGTTCTCAACGTACGTCCAATCAGACATGTTCTCCCCGTCTCCCACTATGAACTGCGGCGGCGGGACGGGAGGGGAAACGGAGAGAGGGGAGACAGAGGGGGAGAAATGGAAGGAGCGGGCGCAGATATGAGCGCGCACCACGTCCTCCACACACAAGCCCAGCCCGACATGTTCTCCCCGTCTCCCACTATGAACTGCGGTGGAGGGACGTAGTGGGAACACGGGGGAAGCCATGGGAACATGGGGGAAGCCATGGGAACATGGGGGAAGCCATGGGAACATGGGGGAAGCCATGGGAACATGGGGGAAGCCATGGGAACACGGGGGAAGCCATGGGAACATGGGGGAAGCCATGGGAACACAGAGCACGTACACCGCATCCTCCACACATTCTTCACGTGCGCCCAATCAGGCATGCTCTCCCCATCGCCCACAATGGTTAGTGCCACTGGGCCGTAACCCCAATGCGTCCCCCCATGCGCATGCGCCCCCATTCCCTCCCCTCCTACCCCACGACGCACCTTGAGCTTCCTTGCTGCGCGTTCCTGACGCTGATGGGCACCAGATCAAGGCCTTCCCCGGGCCAAAGATGTTGCTGGCGCGCACAACACAGCTTAGGGTGTTTCCCCCACCTCCCCTCCCCCTGTCCCCTCCCTACGCCTCGTCCCTCTATCCATACGCACACCCACCCACCTTGAGCTTCCCCTTCTGCGCGCCGCTAATGGGCACGAGGTCAGGGTCCCCCGGACCAATTTGTTGCTGGGGCGCAGGGCGCACGTCAGCAGCCCCTCTCTCATGAATTCAACCCTCCTCCCTCCTCTCCCCTCCCCCCCCCACACCCCTCCATGCACACTCACACACTTCGAGTTATCCCCCTCTCCCACTTTCCCTTTCCCGCCACTGCATTGCGCCCCTCTATCCGCACGCACACCCACACGCACACCCACACGCACACCCACATGCACACCCACACACACACCCACACACACACCCACACACACACCCACACACACGCCCACACGCACACCCACCCACCTTGAGCTTCCCCTTCTGCGCGTTTCTGACAGTGATGGGCACGAGGTCAGGGTCCCCCGGGCCAAAGATGTTGCTGGGGCGCAGGGCGCACGTCAGCAGCCCGCCCTGACCATTGGCCGCCAGGGCTATGGCCTCCGCCTGCGCCTTGGTCTCCCCGTACGCGTTAGTAGCCTGTAGATGGATGTAAAACGGGACAGGTGAAACGCGGTAGGGTGAGAGGAGCTCTCCAAGCGCAAGCCATTCCATATTTGTGCGTCCTTGTCACGAGGCTGGAAGCAAAACATGTCTGGCGCTGCTCACACTGATAGCGAGTTCATCCAGAGGGGCGGGGTGGGGGGAGTGGGGGGGGAAGTGGGGGGTCAGTGTTGGGGAGAAGTGGGGGGGAAGTGGGGGGTCAGTGGGGGGGAGAAGTGGGGGGGAGAAGTGGGGGGGAGAAGTGGGGGGAAGTGAGTGGAGGGGAAGTGTGGGGGAAGGGGGCGCCGGGAGAACTGGTGGCATGTGTGGAAGCGACTCGTCCCTACCTTGCCGGCATACGGCAGCGACTCGTCCCCGTTCTTGATGTCGTGGCGCCCGTCGAACACCACGCTGGCCGAGCTGGTGAAGACCAGCCGCCGCACGCCCGCCTCCTGGCACGCCGCGATCACGTTCTTGATGCCTGGCAGTCCATGGGGAAGACGGCGGTGGGATGGTGGAGGAAAGAGCATTGAGGTGACCTTTGAGTCGACTCAAAAGGCAGCGTTGGAGAAGACGAGCTGACGCGCGCTGGCCTCTTGGCATGCAGCGATCACGTTCTTGGTGCCTGGCGGCACACGGGGGAGGGCAGGTAGTGAGGGAGGCGAAACGTGGGGGGAGGAATGGGGTTCAGAGAGGCTGACGAGGATGGGCGCACGCCCGCCTCCTGGCAGCAAAAGATGAGGGCACGTCGTGAGGGAGACGAAGCGTGGGGGGAGGAGGCAAGGGGTTCACATGAGCCGACGCACGCCCGCCCGCCTCCTCGCACACCGCGATCACGCTCTTGGTGCCTGGCAGCACACGGGGAGGGCAGGTAGGTAGCGAGGAAGCACACACGGCGATGGTGAGGGGGAGGGAACGTGGGGGAGGAAGGCGGTTCAGGGAGGCCGGGGGAGGCGAGCCGACGCACGCCCACCCGCCTCCTCGCACGCCGCAATCGCGTTCTTGGTGCCTGGCAGCACACGGGGGAGTGGAGGGTGGGATGGTGGAAGGAGGAGGTGGAAAGGAAGAGGAGGGGGAGGAGGTGGGGCTATTGGGAGATAGGAAGATGGGTGATGGAGGGAGGAGGGGGGGGGGGTGGGGGGGGGGGGGGGGGAGAAGGGAGAGGAGGGGGAGTGTTTAAGGGGGAGGTGCAGGAGGGTGATGTGGAGGGCGTGTTGAATGAGAGGATGCGCGACTGCCTCTCGGAATGCAACAGCCACGTCCACATTCCCGTGCATTCGACCAGGGCGCAAGTGAGGCTGCTAGGTGCAAAGGCAAAGGTGCCGCGGCGAGTGAGGCGACGTGAGGCGATTTGAAGCGATTTGAGGTCGGGAGAGGAGCAGAGACGGAGACGCGTGTTAGGGGGGGAGAGAGGAGGGGGAGGGGAGGAGGGGGGGAAGGAGAGGGGATGGGAGCGAGCGGTGGAGCGAGGGAGGATTTAAAAAGGGCTGAGTTGGTTTTCGAGAGTTGTAAAAAACGGCTCAAGCGCGGCAGGCATAGTACGCACCGAGCACGTTTACGGTGTAGTGGGGGGCGAGGTCCGTGAGCGCGTGGTTGGGCGACGCCATGTGGAACACCGCAGATGCGCCCTGGAAGACTGGTCAGGGGCAGGTGGAACACAAGGGAACGAGGGGGAGAAGCGCCCTTGAAGCGCGCCAAAAACAGGAGCAATGTCCAGCCTTCCAGGACAGGGATGCGAAGGGGTATTCTTAAAGACATAGGAAGACGCGAAAGCGTGGCAACCGTGCGTGGCCAGGGTCCGTCCCTTGGTCCCCCCTTGCATCAGCCATCGCATCGCACGGATCTGTCACAATGACCATCCGATCGCACCCACCTTTAACCATGGCCGTCCGATCGCAGACATTCCCCGAGATGTACTCCAGCTGTCCGCTGCGCGCCGAGTCCCGCACGAGCCCCGCCTCGCCCTCGCCGTTAGCCTCGTCGTCCGTGAGCTTGAGCTCGGGCGCCATGTCCACCACCCGCACCGTCGCCCATTCGCCCGTCGCTAACAGCTTGCGAACCAGCCAGCGACCGACGAAACCGCGACCGCCGGTTACCACACACACCTGGCGACACGGATCGAGGGGGAACGAGGTTGCGAGGGCAGATCAGAGGAAGGAAGTGGAAGAGGACGTGGAGGGAGGACTGAAATGAGAACAGAGCCATGGCTACCAGCCAAGCGCATGGAAACTTGCAGCGATCTCGCTAACCTAACGATAATGAACACGGGTTCGTACGTCTTGCGAAAAGCCGATTTGGACCCACTACACACCTGGCCAGCCATCGCTGAAACCTGATCTCCTCGGCTATACAACAGAGGTCGACCAATGAAGCAGTTGCAGATTCGATCAATGGAGAGATATGCTAGGCGATCAGCAAATTCAAACAAGGCAGGAACGCAAGCTGATCGCAGGTTGCTGAAGACAAGCCAAGTACTGTACTCAAGGGATGGAACGGCAGGGGGACCTCCCGAGATTTGGGAGGATGAACAAGGCAGTGGCCAAGGTCATCGGAATTCCCAAGGAGGCGAATCTCCCAGCTGGGGAGGCTCGCTGATTGGTCGGCGTGTACAGACAGAGTGCTCCCGTGAAGAGAACCTGATATTGGTGTCTGTGTAGCGCTAGTACAGCAGACAGTTGTACAAGGCTAAGAATTTAGCTGGTACTATAGTTCATAGTGTGATTTTACATATTGGTGTCATTAGAAGTCACCCACTACAAATAACCCTCAATACACTGCTTGGTTTACATTGGCGGAAGAGGCTTTCCGCGTGTTGTTCTGTTAGTGGTCGTGTCCGACTCAGAAATATTTCACGTGCATTAGTTTCGAATGGCCATTCGTCCGTGCTTGTGCCCGCCATAGAATTTCTCCGAACAGCTGTCGTGGCACTCCCACATTCGCTCGAAATCGTAATGGACCCACAAGAACGTTCTTCGCGTTTGTCATTGGCCAATGGACAGGCAGATTGCCCGCGAAGCGCATCCAGAATCCCTCACACTTTCTGTCATCCATATATCCTGTTTTCTCGGGTTCCCCTGTGTCCTAGTGAATTGAACGCACTTCAACAAACGTGTATCTTCCGATTTTCAGCGGTATTCATTAGTGAAATAGCGTACCTGTCGATTAGTCTGAGTAGATTCACCAGAAAACTTGCACGAATGCGCTCGGTCAGAGTTGGAGGGATCTGGGTAAATTCTCCACAATCCGTTCACCTCCCTTTGCCGGTCCTTCCAGCAGAAAACCCAACCGAGCCCATTTTGGAATGGTAGCTGTGTGGCTCTCTCCAGGCCCGTCGAACTCGAGCTCTGGTCTGGGGGCCAGACGAGCCAACAGCATAAATTGAGGCCTCCATTACCTGGAACGCCATCACGCAGCGTGCTCTACACTGTCTACACGTTCGTTCCCACAACCTCCCCTCTTGTGCATACACCCCTGAGCACGTTGCCTGGTCCCATACCACTGACTGCTCCCGGTCTTTTCGCTGCTCCCAATCGAGTCAGTGAAGCCAGCTCTCGTCCAGGCTCTTGTACATACCAAGACGCTGTAGAGCTGCAGATATCGCAGCCGCACGTAGATTCGCATTCTTTTTCGAGCCAATCTATTATTTCCTTTGATAATGGCTCCTCCCATGGGCGACGTCTCCGGCCCTACAGCCATGCTCATGCCTGACGTCAGCAGCAGCGGAAGCCTCTTCGTCCACCCGTCGGACTTCCAAGCCTCCGTCGCCGTCGACGCTCTCCGCCACGCAATCTACACCTCGCAGCTCGAACACGCCATCCTCGATAAGACATCCCGCGATAAGACCACGTCGGATGTCTCCATCGAGCCGGCGAGCTACGAGGAGGGCTACGTGTACGATCCCACGGCGCCCATTCCGGCGGGCTCGACGGACGTGGTGTTGGTGCGGCACGGCGAGACGTTTTGGAACCACGACCACCGCCTGCAGGGCCAGCTCGACACGGAGCTCAACGCCGCGGGTCTCGCGCAAGCTCAAGCCGTACGGTTCCCTGCAGCCTTGCAGCCTCCCGGCGTTCGAACTTATCACGCGCGTTCCGTGCAAAGATACTGCTTTCCCTTTTTACTTTGTTCACAATTTTTGTTTCTGAAGTGGAAGTCGTAGGGTGTGAGTCGTGGCGTACTTACATTCTTATTACAATGTGTAGGTCGCGGCTCGATTCGCCACGTGGGAGTTCCCCTTCTGCGCCATCTACGCGTCGGATCTGCGCCGCGCCGCGGACACGGCTCAGGCCATCGCGGACCGCGCGGGATTCCCGGGGATTGTCAGGGACGTGGGACTGCGCGAGCGGCACATCGGACACCTGCAGGGCTGCCTGGCTCACGAGGCGCCGCTCAAACAGCCGGAGGCGTTTAAAGCCTTTCATTCTGAGGACCCCTCTACTGCCATTCCGGTAAGAGAGTTCGCATGTTCCTTATTCACCAAATGAACTACGTAGAAAACGATTTTCTTGAACGTACCGTGCTTGTAATCGCACCACAAAAAAATAAAAAGTAGCGTTCTTTCTTCAAGATACCAACCGTGCGGGCCGTCTTTCCTATTGTGGCGTAATGTATTGTGTCGGTGGTTCAGGGCGGCGGGGAGAGCATGGCTCAGCTGGTCGAGAGGACGAGCAAGACGGTGGATAAGATCGCCCGCAATCACCGAGGTGAGATAGAAGAAAGACAAACCGTTGGAGTTCCTCTCCAATGATCCTGAAATATGCCGAGGAGAACTGTCCTAAGCACTTATCCCGCGAATGTTTTACCGTAACAATTTCTCTTAGGTTCTTCCTGGCTTTCCTATTCCCCTCCCCCTCCCGCCCCTTCCCCCTTTCTCACTATCCGCCCCCCCAAACCCCGTCGTCCTCTGCTCTTCTTCCATCCATCTCTTCCGTGATTCCAGGGAAGCGCGTGGTGGTCGTTTGCCATGGCGCCGTGATGATGGCGCTTCACCGCCACGCGTTGGGCCACGACTCGTCCATGGGGGTCATAAACGCGTCGATCAACGTCGTCCGCGTGTCAGCTGATCACACGTGGCGCGTCCTCCACTGGGGCGATGTGAAGCATCTCGATGGGATGGAGTTCGACCATGATGGCTTCGGCGGTGGCAAGGACTCCGCCTAGGTCTTATAACAAGGATTAGGACGCAAGAGGAACGCGGTGTACAAAGCATGAGAGGCACTCAAAGCAACAGTAGCATGTCCATACCGAAGCGAAGGATCAGCAGCATGTTGTAGATAATGTCGATGCTTCTGTCATTCAAAGCAATGTACCCCACTCTGTGGACATCCATAACAGACCAATTCTGTGGACATGATGCGGAAATGAGATACTAGTGTCTCAAATGTGCCATATGTGATGTTCGTTTTTTAGATTTTCGTTTCGCTGCGCGTCGCTTGTTGGCGCGCTTTCGCCACGCGACTTGTGCCTGGCGCGAGTTTATGTCCTAGCCCGAATGTGTTTGTAGGAGCAGCCAATCCGACGTTCCTGTGCGAAGCTGAGGTGGCTGCCCTCTCTTCTGATCTCGGCGGAATAGACAGGCAAGGAGATCAATAATGAAATTCGCGTTTCTGATTCTGATCATACTTCATAGGAATTCGCCCTAAGCGAATGGAGAATTCTCCTCCTCTTTCGTGTGCTGTGATAACTCGATCCTCTTTTCCTGGAAACCAAATGGTGCAGTATTCTCTCGCCATGTGGGCACAAACACACACTTCCCACCTATGCGTCAGCCTGCAGAAATACTTAAATATTCAGCCATGTGCCTCTAAATTTCAGGCCATAGATGCATCATTTAGGAGGCCTAGAACGGTGGTTTCCTATGTACCTACTATGCCGATGCAAAGTGCAGGTCCGGAGGCAGCTCCACCCCCAAGTCCAGATCATCTAGAAACATGCTGAAATCCTCCAGCCCCCTTTCTTGCCCCTGCCCCTGCTGCTGCTGCTGATCTAGCTGGTGCAGCTGCTCCTGCTGTGCCTGCCAGGGGGGCAGCTCCCCTTCTGCCAGAAAGAGTGTGTCTTGGTGAGTGTGTGACGGGTCCTGCTTCTGAACAGGTGTAGGGAGGAGTGAGGAGGGAGGGGAAGGGAGAGAGGGAATGAGTGAGATGGGCACTGATTCTGAACGCGTGAAGAGAGGCGAGAGAAGGAAGGGGCAGCAGGCGAGGATGGGTGTGTGATGGGCCATGCTTTTGAGCGCGTGTGGAGAGGAAACGGTGGAAGCAGCCACAAGAGCCAATGGGGACGTAGGTGTGGGCATGCACGTGTGCCTCTGTGCCTCTTTGGGGGGGGGGGTTGAGGTGAGGGTGCGTCTGTTTGTGTGAGTGTGTGGCAGGAGGGGGGAAAGAGAGCGATGCGCGTCGCACTGACCTCAGAAAAAGCACTCTGGATGGTGGCAAGACCAGCACTGGGCGTTGGTTGGGCGGAGTCCCCCCCAGAGCCCCACATGTCGACATCCCCCACATCCAGCATCACTAAATCCTCTTTCTGTAATCGCATTCTACCTCCTTCCATGTGCACCCCTCCCCCTCCCCCTCCCCCTCCCCCTGCTTCTCCCCCACCTCCTTCTCCTCCTGCTCCTCCTAAGCCACCTCCCCCACCAATGAAGCCTTCACGACTTAACCCACCGCCTCCTCCTAGTCCTAATGCACTGGTTGACCCAAGACCACTATTCCAGGCACTGCCAGGTGTCTGCTCATGATTGGCCAGTGAGGCTGATGTGGAATGACCTATACCATGGCTATGTGGCTGTGAACCTGGTTTCACATCAGCTGTGGGTGGCAACATGCTGCCCAATTGAGTGCCGCCCATATGAGCTCCATTTTGTCTTGTACCGGACCCGGCACCCCACCCTCCCATGTCTTCCACCTTCCACACCCCTCCTCTCCCACCTCCGCTGCCTGCTGGCTTTCCTGCTGTCCCTTCCATTCCTCCTAGCCTTGCCTCATTCCCAATACCTCCTGCCAAACTCCCTCCCCTTCCTTCTCCCCCACCTCTTCCCACACCTCCCCCCACACCTGCTGCCATGCCTGTACCACCTGTCATTCTCCCTACCCCCTCCGACCCACCCCCATCACTATCATCACTATCATCTTCCTCCTCTTCTTCCTCCTCGTCCTCGTCCTCATCCTCCCCCACATCGCCCCCCCCTCTCTTCGAGTCCAGCGCCTTTCTTCTCTCAGCCACCTCAACCCTGAGCCGATCCAGCAAGACTTTCCGAGCCTGCGCCGAGCCTGCTGCCATCTCGTTCAGCTTCCGCTGCAGCAGCGCCTGCACCTGCCTCTCAGCTTCGGAAGGATCACTCACTCTCGACGGTCGGTTTGCTGCTGCCGGTGCCACAACTGGTTGTGCTCCTGCTGCTGCTGTAGGGACTGTGGAAGCAGCAGCAAACGATCCTGCTGCTGCTGCTGTTGCAGCTCCTTGCGTGTTCTGTTGTTGCTTCTGTGCCTGCTGTCCCTGTGCAGCCTGTGCTATCCCTGGCAGATCTCCCGGCCGTGCTCCCTCGTGCTGCTGCTGCTGCTGAACGCTGTCGTGACCGATGGAAATATCTGATTTCGATCTTGGCAGTGCAGCAGCAGCACTTGCCGCCATACCCACACTCATCGCCCCACTACCAGCACCACCAGCACCACTACCAGCACCACCAGCACCACTCGAAGCACCAGCAGCAGCAGCACCACTGACCGCCATACCCCCACCTCCCCCTTCCTCACTCGAACCCCCCTCTCCCGCATCCAGCTCTATTCTGAGCCGCGCTGCCAGTGCTGCCGCCCCCGCCTGCTTGCCCAGCAGCTTGATCACCCCCTCCAGCCCACCCAACCCCGCCAATCCCCCGGCTCTCCCCCCGCTTCCCACTCTTCCACCACCACCATTGCTGCCTCCCGCACCAGCACTAGCACCCCTCTTCCCTTCTCCTCCTGCTCCTCCTGCTGCTGCTCCTGCTGCTTCTCCTGCTGCTCTTGCGCCCCCTGCTCCACCCGCCCCAGTTCCACCTTCCCCAGCTGCGCCCTGTTTCGTTTCCTTCTGGGCCATCTTGGTGATCTGGTTCGCCAGCACATGCACCTCCGGAGCCGTTAGATCGCCGCCGGCCATCATCTGCCCTAGGATCGCCAGCGCCATAGCCTCCTTCGAAGGCGCGGGAACAGGCTCGAAAGCTCCTTCCGGACCTCCTGCTGCAGACGAGCTAGGCTGGCCAAAGCTAGCTGTCTTGCCGAGGCTAGAGGTCTTGCCGAGGCTGGTTGAAGCTCCCCCCGTTGCTGCACTCGCTGTCGGACCTCCAGACATGGAAACAGCAACGGATGATGGTTCTGGTCGCCGTGCCATCACTCCCGGACCTAACGATGAGCTTCGATTAAGCCCAGGTGTGGTGCCGAGCCTGCTTCCAGCACCAGCACCAACAGCAGCAGCACCACCAGCAGCAGCACCAGCAGCACCAGCAGCACTAGCATCACCAGCAGCAGCAGCAGCAGCAGTGGCAGTGGGCTTTCCTTCCAGCTCGAAGTCCGGAAACGACTCTCGGCTCAGCCGCCTGTGCAGCTCCGGTGTGGCCAGCCGCTTCCTCAGAGGGCCCTGCGGCGCCGACCCGCCACCTAGTGCAGGTGACTGTAACGAAGGTGATCTTACTGCAGGTGACAATAGCGCAGGGGACAGTATCGCGTCCAGCCTGTCCCCTGTGCTGGTCACCTCCATGGGCGCTAGGGGGGAGTCCGTCCCCTTGGACCCGCTCCCACCTGGGGACACCAGCCCACCACCAGCCCCACCACCTCCAGCACCTGAAGGAGCACCTGAGAAATCACCTGAGGACCCTCGGCTCATGGAGGCTCTCGAGAGCTTGACAGCAGCGGCCACAGAGGGTTCATTGAACTCTGCTTTCCGTGCCAGCTTGCGGAACTGCTCCTCCGCCTTCCGCCTCTCCTCCTCGGACGTGGGAAACGGGGCAAACGCCAGCTTTAGATCACGCAGCCCGCCCGACCCAAAGCTGCCCTGGCTTCCCGGCGCTGACACTGGTGCCGATGATCTTCCCCCCCCACTGGCAGCCCCACCACCACTGCTCTCCCCCTCTCCTGCTGCTCCCTGTGCCTGCCCGTCCGCCCCTGCAGACCCCTGTCTCGTAACACCAGCACCAGCACCAGCACCGGGAGCACCAGCAGCACCAGCAGCACCATCACCACTAGCGGCAGCACCATCCCCTGCCATCGCCTCTCTCTCACTCCCCTCTCTAGCGCCCCCCTCTCTTGTGCCACACACTCGTCTCCCAGCTGTCTCCGCACCACCCCCTCCACTCAGCCTGCCACAATCCATCTCCTCCGCCCCACAGCTGTCCTCCTCTAACGGCCGTTTCAGGCTCCCACTGCCGCCACCCCCACTCAACCTCTCCCTCGCTCCACCACCAGCACCACCTGCTCCAGCACCGCTCCCCCCTATGCTGCTGCCACCCGCTCCCCCGCCCGTTCCCCCGCCCGTTCCCCCGCCCGTTCCCCCGCCCGCGGCCCCCCCGCTCTCCCCCCCACTGCCCCAGCTCATGCGGGAGCGGGGGGAGGACGCCCCGCTGGTGTTGGGGCTGGTGCTGCTGCGGCGGTGGCGGGGGGACCCGTAGGGCGACGGGCCAAAGGGCGAGGGGGAGGACCCTCTGGACGACTGCAGTCGAAAAAGCTGCTCTGCCCGCTGCTGCTCTGGCCTGTGCTGCTCAAAACGGTGCTGCTCCAGCCGCACTAGTCCTCCTGCCGATGCCGTCCGGCCGAAACCAGCAGGCGACCCCATTATCATGCCACTGCTGCTCATGTTGCCAGTGCGCCTGTCCCCTCCCCCTCCCCCTCCCCCTCCCGTCCCCCCTCCATCTCCCCGTGTCAAGACTGCTAGCACATCTGCTGCTGAGAGAGAGTGTGAGCGGACGCCAGATGTCAGCATGCGATTGGCTGGTGCCAGAGAGCTCATCACAGGTGCGGCAGCACCCCCGGATGCAGCAGGTCCGGGAGCAGCAGGCGGTATGACAGGTACGGTTGCCGAACCTGACGGCGAGCCTAGGATGGACAGCTGTGCCAAGGCTCGTTGCGTGGATCGGTTGGGAGAATCAAATCGTGGCGGATCAGATCTAAGTGGACCCACTCTAGACCGCTGGCTCAATCTAGACGAGGGGGGGTGGGCGGCAGAGGAGGGGTGGCGCGAGGGGGGATGGGGGGAGGAGGCAATTGAGTTGGATGGGGAGGCTGAGGGAGCGGGGGAGGAAGGGGAGGCGGGATGGTGGGGGATGGGCAGGTGGGAGGGCGGCATGGGGAGAGGCTTGGCGATACTGGCGGGGGTGGTGGACGTTTCTGGGATGAAATCCGGGAGGAAGACTCCTGGAATCTTCTGCAGCTGCTCGAACTTCTTCCAAAGGCCCTGTGAGATGCTCGGGTCCTCCTTGATCTGTCGGCGAGAGGGGGGGGGGAGGGGGGGGGGGGGCAGGAGGGACGAGGGAAAGGGAGAAATTTGTTCTTGAGTCGACAAGCATAGGTTGAAAGGTTGAAAGGTTGACAGGTTCTCACAGTTCTGGACCAGAACCTACAGTCACAGGACATTCCAATGCTCACGTCGGATGCCTTAAGGACCAGCAGGGCGGGTTAGTCTACGGGGGGATGTACAAGACGTTTAGGAGCCATTTGGGGGGGGGGGGGGGGAGGGGGGGGAGGGGGGCGTACCAGGAGCACAGAACCGAGCTGAACCGCACCGCCAGGCACTGGGATTATGGCGATGGTCTGTTAGTGGGTTGCACATGGCGGCGGAGGAGAGAGAAGAGAGAGAGAGAGAGAGAGAGAGAGAGAGAGAGAGAGAGAGAGAGAGAGAGAGAGAGAGAGAGAGAGAGAGAGAGAGAGAGAGAGAGAGAGAGAGAGAGAGAGAGAAACTCTGTGACGTGGGTAGAGAAACGGTGCACAAAGTTAAGGATGATGGTAGGGCGAATGGCAGAACATGGATTGAGCCTGCGAAGGTGCAACAATGGAGACGCACATTGGACAGGCGCGTTCACTCAATCTCGTGGAGTGAGAACTACTGGGTACACGTGAGAAGGGAGGAATGCAAGAGGGCATGCGGGAGAGGACCAGCGTATGAGAGGGAGAAGTCATGAGAGGGGGTGTGTGACGGCAGTGATGGCAGTGATGGCAGTGATGGCAGCGATGGCAGCGATGGCAGCGATGGCAGCGATGGCAGTGATGGCAGTGATGGCAGTGATGGCAGCGATGGCAGCGATGGCAGCGATGGCAGCGATGGCAGTGATGGCAGTGATGGCAGTGATGGCAGACAACGGTTGTCATGCCAGGGAGCAACGTGATTCTGTTTTTGAGGCGCCTAAAAAATAGCAGTGATGGCAGACAACCGTTGTCATGCCAGGGAGCAACGTGCTTCTGACAAGCAGACACGCAGCGCACCTTGATGCCAGAAGCGAAGTGCTCCGCCCAGCCCGGTGGATGCTGCATGAGAGAGAAAGGGGGAGAGCGAAGGAGGAGGAGAGGTGGGTGACATGCAGACTGGGTGTGAGGGAAGGTTGTTGAGGGGTAGAGGCACAAAAGCGGGGGAGAGAGCAAAAGACAGGGGAAGTGAGAGCAAGGGCGAGCGAGTCGCGACAGGGTGATGGGCACCAAAGGCATTGAGCAACGCAGGCAACGAAGGATAGCAGCACAGCAGCAGAGGGTGGTCAATCAGAGACTGGTGAATGAGAGAGCAGAGGCCGACATTCCCAGCTCACCTGGCTTTGCACGCAGTTGAGTGCATCGGTGTGGTACTTGGCATGGCTGTACACCCACTCCGCTGCTTCGGCTGCCACACACGACCCCACCAGCCTGCGGGAAGAGGGGAGGTAGGAGTGAGGGGATGCGGGGAGAGGGAGAAAGTGAGAGGTGGAGGAGATGAGTTCTTCAGCCTGTCTTACCCTGTCTTACCCAATCACAGTGGCGTACAAGCAAGCCCCTGACCAGTGGCCAGCATGTCTTACCCTTCGCCGCGGTTAAGCATCATCCGGTAGGAGAAATTCAAACGTGCCATGCAGCTGGTTCCAGTCGCATCAGAGCTCCTTCCCTCTCTACAACCAAAACCCGCAAACGGTCCAAGCATGGCAGCCCTAACCTTCGCCGTAGTTACAGATGTGGTGGGTTTCGAGTCGACTCAAAAGCCCTAACCTTCGCCGTAGTTACAGATGTGGTGGGGAAACTTCAGATACGTGGCGTGCAGCTGCTTCCAGTCGTAGCAGAGCTCTTCTAAAACGATCATAGAAAACCCTTATCCCCTACGGCCAAAGCCCTCAATCGTACCCTTCGCAATAGTTATATATCTGGTAGGAGAACTTAAGGTACGCCGCGTGCAGCTGCTATTAGTCGCAGCAGAGCTCCTCTGAACGAGCACCCGAAACCCTTATCCCCTGCAACAACCAGAGCCCCCAGTCGTACCCTTCGCCATAGTTGTAGATCTGGTAGGAGAACTTGAGATACGTGGCATGCAGCTGCTTCCAGTCGTAGCACAGCTCCTCTAAAGCGGGTACAGCGTCCGCGTGGCCGCTGCTGCTGCCTCCGGCGGCACTAGAGGACGAATTGCGCCACCGCGCCATCTGGTCCTCCAGCTTCTTAAGTACGGCCTGAGGGACTAAGTAACCGTCCTCCCACATCAGCACCCTGTGGGGTTATCAAGGAGAGGGGGGGAGAGAAGAGGGCACAGGAGGGGGGGATAGGGGGTGGGGAATAGCGCCAGCGCGCAATCTGGTCCTCGAGCTTCTTCAGCACGGCCTGAGGCGCCAAGTAACCGTCCTCCCACATCAGCACCCTGCGGGTTATCGAGGAGAGAGGGGGAGAGAAGAGGGGGAAACAATGACGGGAGGGGGGGGGTAGGGGGTGGGGGATAGCGCCAGCGTGCCATCTGGTCCTCCAGCTTCTGCAGCAATGCTTGCGGTACCAGGTACCCGTCGCCCCACATCAGCACCCTGCAGTGCAAGGCGGGGGGGGATGGGGTGAGGCTGGAGGGGATAGGGTGCGAGATTGCGCCACCCCGTGCCTTCTGGTCCTCCAGTTTCCTCAGCACGGCCTGAGGCACCAGGTACCCGTCCTCCCCCATCAGCACCCTGGAGGGGAGGCGTAGAGAAGGGGAGAGAAGAGGGGGAGAGAATGATGTGGGGAGGGGATGGGGTGGGCGATTGCGCGCATGTGACATCTGATCTTACAGCTTCATCAGCACCGCCTGAGGGACCAAGTGTCCGTCCTCCCACATCAGCACCCTGTGGGCTGTTAAGGAGAGAGGGGGAGACGAGGGCGGGGGGGAGAGAGAGGTGGGGGGGTGGGGGGGAGGGGGACAAGGATGAGAGGAAGAGGTGGGGTGGGAGATTGCGCCACCGTGCCATCTAATCCTCCGATCCTTTCAGCACAGCTTGAGTCACCAGGTGCGACAATAGGTAGTCTCGAAGATCAGCATTGATGGAGGAATGGGTATCAGGCGCTGGTGGTTAGCGTGAATGGCGGTGTGAATGTGAGTGCGGCAAGCGCAGACGAGGAGGATTGAGCATGACAGAAACGAGGGGGGGGGGAGGAAGAAGAGATTGACGAGAGAAGAGAGGAAGAGGAGAAGGAGGGGAGGGCGTACCAGTTATCGTCGTCTTCGCGTCTCATCACACGGTTTCCCCTTATGGGTACATTTCTGCGGGACAGAATGAAACGCGGAACAGAAGCCGGCAGAACGAACGAGGGAAGGACAGCGTTACTAGCGCTCACGACGAAGGACACAAGGGGAGCAAGCGATTCAGGCGCTTCTAAAGGAGACACGGCGCGTAAGAAACGGCGAGTGACGATTAAGCTTCGAATCTCCTTATTCCACGCACAGACGAGCACCCGACTCTTCGCGGTCGCAATTCGACGCGATTAAATTGCGAAAACTTCGAGAGGGACTGGAAGCAGACGTTACGTTTGCGACGTTCGCGGAACCGCGCGGCGTTTGAGTCGCCAGAAGACGGAGTACGTCCACCCGTTCTGCAGGCACAGGTCCTTGAGCACCTGCCGCAGCAGGTACATCGGCCTCTGTGCTAGCACCGCGCTCGGCACCTGTCTAGGGTTCGTCGCCATTGATTAATTCTCGTTGATAGGTAAAGGTGCTATAAATACATAAATTAATTAAACGCGCGGGAACGCTTCGTCTACAACAGGAAAACCCTAACTGTAGAGCTGTTGTATGTTAGCGACATTGTACGATAAGGCCTTCAGGGAAAACTTCAAGCCAGAGAAAATCAAGCTTCGGACACACATCACCACACCAACAGCGGAGCCCAGGAACCGAGGAACCCAGCAACCTAAGAAGGATGCGTCAGATCAAGACCTGAAGCTATGGAGGTATGTGTGCGGTAATTGGAGGGTAGAACGCTTTTCTCGGAAATGCCAGTTGCGGAAGGGAAAACGGAGAGTGACGACCGTAACGAAACGTGTTCGCGAAGCCTTGGTGCCCAGCCAGGCGCGAGCCTGAGGGGGCGCATGGCGTACGATTTAGTTCGGTTCACTGCATGCTTGTAAGGTGCTTCGTGGTACAATAGACCCCTCGGACATCCCCTGACTTGGTTGGGAGACCTCGGCGAAAGCCTGTCGATTCAGTACCAGTGGTAACAAATAATCAACGATGCGCGTGCACTTGGTGCTTTTTCGCTAGGTGGCGAAAATTTCAGGCACATCTCGGTGGGGCAGCATTGACCCTGGCCAATCAAACTGAGCGATTTTGAAGGCGGAGAAAGGGGGGGGGGTTCACGTGGCAGCCACATGTGGTGGCTTCAGGGCGAACTGGAAATCCGCTCAATCAGCATGGGCTGGCAAACTGTTGCAAGTCGACAGGGTAAACATGGCGTTTAGGAAAGATACCATTCTAGGGAGATCTTTTCGGACCTGAGGAGGTCTCTTCCAATAATGACTGGTGCGCTGCGCATTCCCCATTTGCTTCGAAGTTTGCCTTAGAGAGTTGGAAGTGCTGTGTATACATGAAGTGAAAGCGTTACCTTATGTCCCTTATTGAAAATTTCTAAACTTCACCTTACCATATGCATATACATACTACATTCATTGTTGGCTACACCCACAATCAATTCCCAATGTTCAATCTTGGGAAGCCAAGGCTACCGTTCATTATTGGCAACTTTGTCAATACACTAAGTGATGGTACTCTGTTTTTCAGCAAAATCCAATAGCAAGAATCACCGCCATCAATCTATCACCACTATCTTGTGATGACTATGTCATCAATCTTGAGAATCATGCGGACGCACTCCGCGGCAAGCGAGATGGCGCTTGTGCTGACGAGCAGCGGCTGCACCACATTCTCCTCAAACATGTTGCTGATCGCCCCCTTTCGCACGTTGATGCCTGCACTAACCTGTAACAAACCCACCAAACGAAATGCATGGATGCAGTGTGGGGATAGGAGGGAAGAGAGTTACCAGGTAGCTGTGGTTACTAAAATGGCCAATCCAAACAAAACATTTTTTATCTGAATGATGAGCTCAACCGGTTAATTCCAAGCCAACGCACACAGATAGCCAGATTCAAGTCACAAAAATACCTCACCAAATGCAGCTGCCTGTTGCTCACCTCCCCTTCGGCATTCTTGTCGCTCACCTCCCCTTCGGCGTGCTTGTTGCGCAGCTCGGTGACGATGGAGATGGGGTTGAGCCCCGCGTTCTCCGCTAGCGTGTATGGCACCACCTGCCCGGGGGGTGGGGGTGGGGAGCATGGGAGGCCACGGCAACGCAGATTGATCTCAGAGTGTACAGCCCCATCTACCACGGGGGGCGAGTGGAGCATGGGAGAGACAACAGTGGGGAGGAATGGGCCGAGCTTTCAGCAAGAGTGTCTCGCACCGCCTGGGAACGGACAATAGGAGACAGAAGAGGTGAGTTTCCGTAGGGTGGGATGAGCAATATGTATCCACTAGTTGGAGGACCAGCTGCAGGGGGGAAGGGGGGGGTTATTGTAGCATAGGGGGAATCGCACTGGCAACACGTTTCAGTAGCTCCCTGCCCTCCGGCTGCCTGCTGTCCTTTGTCTCCGGTGCGCTGCCCCCCCCTATGAGGGCACTGCTCTACCATCTTACACAATAGCAGTCAACGCACCTCCAGCGCCAGGGCAAACGCCCGGGCACAGTAGCTCTCCTTCCCCTCCAGCAGCTTGCTCCATGCCGCCACGCCAGCTGCCGGCTGACCTCGATTTCAAGCGCATCGCCCCGCGTTATAAACGCGACCTTCTACACTACGCACCAGCAGTCAACCCAACCCACCTCCAGTGCTTGCGCGAAGGCGCGGCCGCAGTAGCTCTCCTTCCCCTCCGGCAGCTTGCTCCATGCCACCAGCTGCTGGCTGACCTCAATCTCATGCACATCGCTGCCCGCTAGAAGCACAACATTCTATAACCTTAGGCACCAGCAGTCAACCCAACCCACCTCCAGTGCTTGCGCGAAGGCGCGGGCGCAGTAGCTCTCCTTCCCCTCCAGCAGCTTGCTCCATGCCGCCAGCTGGCGGCTGACCTCGATCTCCGGCGCGCCGCCCCCGGCGATGAGGAAGCGCTTGCTGACGAGGCAGCGCACAACGCACAGCGCGTCGTGCAGACTGCGCTCCGCCTCCTCCAGCACCAGGTTGTTGGAGCCGCGCACGATCACGCTCATGGTGCGCCCCATGTTCTTGATGCCCGTGATCTTCACCAGCTGTAGATCGGAAGGAGCAGGACGAGAGGCGGGGGGAGTTGAGAGGGGGATTGATCACGTGGCTCTTCGTTCTGAAGATTGACGGCCCTCACAACTCGTGCCACGAGAACTCCGAGGCGCATTAGACAATAAACTCAACGTCGGCCCGCTTCACGCCCTTGATGATCGGGATCTTAGCAGTCGACCACATTTGCCCTAAAGATCCTGAAGAAACCACCACCCTAAAGAAGCACTCACCCGGCCCTCCCCAACAGCCACCTCCTCCACGAGATCAGCCTCCCCCAGCTTCTCCGCCCTGAAGTGCTCCGGATTGGCGATGGGCAGGCAGTTGAGCGTGCGGCTGATGAACTCGATGTCGTCGCGCTCCACGTCCTTGACCACGAGGATCTTGGCCTTGGCCAGGTAGTGCAGCGACAGGTCCGTCACGGCGTCCCTCAGGATGGACTTCTGAATCAGCAGCACGTTGCAGCCCGTGGCGCGGATTTTTTTTATGATGTTGAGGATGTAGTTCCGCTCTTCCTTGAGAATGCGGTCCATCTGAAAGAACAAGGGGGGGAGAGAGGAGAAGAGAGGGCAGAGAGGATGGGGAGGAGAGCAGGGGTTGCATGGGTTGGGTGGCGTCCCATCAATGCCGTCTGCCTTGCCCAGGTAGTGCAGCCACAGGTCCGTCACGGCGTCACGCAGGATGGTCTTCTGGATGAGCAGCTCGTTGCAGCCCGTGGCGCGGCTCTTCTTGATGATGTTGAGGATGTAGTTGCCCTCCTCCTTGAGAATGCGGTCCATCCGAGATAACAAGGAGGAAGAAATGGAGAAGAGCGGGCAGAGGGGATGGGAAGGATCGCATGACAGCATGACAGCATGACAGCATGACAGCATGACAGCATGACAGCATGACAGCATGACAGCATGACAGCATGACAGCATGACAGCATGACAGCATGACAGCATGACAGCATGACAGCATGACAGCATGACAGCATGACAGCAAGACAGCATGACAGCATGACAGCATGACAGCATGACAGCATGACAGCATGACAGCATGACAGCATGGCAGCATGGCAGCATGACAGCATGACAGCATGACAGCATGACAGCATGACAGCATGACAGCATGGCAGCATGACAGCATGACAGCATGACAGCATGACAGCAAGACAGCATGACAGCATGACAGCATGACAGCATGACAGCAAGACAGCAAGACAGCATGACAGCATGACAGCATGACAGCATGACAGCATGACAGCATGACAGCATGACAGCAAGGGTTGCACCTTGCCTTTCTGCAAGCAGCGTCCTGATCTCTCCCTCGACCTTTGCCTTCTCCCGAAAGAGTGACGCGTTGACTAGACCCAATCACTGACCTCTCGTCTGTCAACTTCAGGGGCAACTCAACCCACCTGTGTGTAGTCCGACACCACCACCGACTGCTCCATGTCGGTCTTGGGCGGCGAGATCTGGAACTGAATCAATCCGATCTTCGCCTTCTCCACCCGCGACGGCCCGCCTGCCGCGTGGCTCGCCTTGCGGTCAAACACCAGGCCTCGAACCATCTCTGTGTCGTCCACCTGCCGGTTCAGAGGGATGTAGATATCACAGAAAAGGTGTGTGGGGGGGGAAAGGGAGGAGGGGGAGAAGGAGAGGGAGAGGGAGAGGGGTGATGAAACTCAACGTGCCTTGAGGTCAAACACCGACCCCGCAGCATCCCTGTGTTTTTTTAGTCGACTCGAAAACCACCTGTAGGGTGTGGGGATGAGGGCGACGCTTGGTTGCTCTAGTGGGTAGAAGAACGTGATCAAACCACCTGTCCATCACTACCTGAATGCTGCAGTGTGCGGACTAGGGAAACGACCACAACTCGCCGTACTGTGCAATCCAGAACTTCGTGTGCCGCCCAGAACTCACCGTGCCGCCCAGCTTCTTGAGCACTTTGATGTCCCGCAGATCCACCACATCTGGATGGCTGGGATCCATCACCTGCCACGTCAGCAAGCACGGGTAGGGGGTGGGGGTGGAGAGAGAGGGGGGAGAGGAGTAGCAAGGGGAAGAGGAGACGGTGTTGGAAGGAAGTGGGTTCATTGAAGTTGGCAGATGGCTCAGGGAGAAGGGAAACGCGGATTCCTTTGGAGGAGCCAAGGCTAGGCTGTTGGAAGCTTAGTTGCTACAAACGCGTTTGGCGTTTGAACGCTAAACGCTCGGCAGTGTGTATGTGAACGCTAGGCAAACGCTTGCCTGGGCAGGGGTAAAATTTTTACACGGGCAGGGGTTCAAGATTCCTGTGGGGGAGGGGGGAAACATGGGGGTTCTACCAGCAGGCATTTTGTCTCATAAAAAAGAACCGTGCTTAACATTTAAGCCAGCATCCTCATATGTCATGTAAATCACCTATCCTTAAGGCTATTCTCCAACGACAATCTCGTGTTTTTTTTTGGGGGGCAGCCCGAAAAGAATCCCAGAGAGCGTTTGTAGCAACTAAGGTTGGAAGTATACCGGATTACCTGGTCATGCCGAGCGAACTCAACAGCAAGGGCATGCAAGCTGGTGAGGGCTTTGGATCTACTGACGACTGGAGCATGGGGAAGGCGCGACGTTCTCCCCCCTGGAGGAGCGCCCAGTCAGCTGCTAACCAACCCGGCGTTTTGAGGGGGCAACAAAGCACACAGTGCGCCACAAACAGGAGTGTAAAGAAGCGCCTCAAAGACAGGTCGTTCTGAGACGACACGAGAAACAGGAATGCCCCTCCCTCACCTGCAGCAAACACAGGAATGCCCCTCCCTCACCTGCAGCAAACACAGGAATGCCCCTCCCTCACCTGCAGCAAACACAGGAATGCCCCTCCCTCACCTGCAGCAAACACAGGAATGCCCCTCCCTCACCTGCAGCACACACAGGAATGCCCCTCCCTCACCTGCAGCACGCAGTCGACTGCTAGCGGGGCGAGAAGAGATGAATACTGGCTCACAACCTGGTGGGGCGAAGACGGACCGAGAATGGAGAGGGGCCGGAACGCAAGCGAGAGAGCGACAGCAATCTAAATATTGGAACTCCGAGACAGGTGTTTTCAGCCTGGATCAATGGACGACAAGTGCTGACATCAGACGACCCAAGGAAGCCAAGCGGTGGGGCGAGAGCTCGAGGCTGAAGGCGAGGAGAGCCAATCGCACCACATTGCACCATGTTGCACCGCACCTTGCTGTTGAGCGACGTGCTGGCGCTCTTGACGAGGGACTCGCGGTCTGAGAGCTCCACTGGCACCGCCATGGTGGTGAGGATCTGACGGGCGACGGGGACGCGCCAGGGGGGAGGGCGGAGGGGGAAATGGGAGAAGTGCAGGGAGGGGTGCAGGGAGGGGTGCAGGGAGGGGTGCAGGGAGGGGTGCAGGGAGGAGTGCAGGGAGGAGTGCAGGGAGAAGAGGGGTTTGGCAGAGGAGGCACTCGCTGTCTGACAGCTCCACCGGCACCGCCATGGTGGTGAGGATTTTAGGGAAGGGTGGAACGGGTAGAGGCGGTGTCAACGAGGTGGAGGAGGCGAGGTTGCTACTAACTCACTATGCCTGACAGCTCCACCAGCACCGGCATGCTGGCGAGGATGTGATGGGGGGGAGGGATAATGGTGAACGAGAAGATATGTCTGGATGGGATACGAAGGGATGAAGCAGGATACGAAGGGATGAAGCAGGATACGAAGGGATGAAGCAGGGTGCGATGAGGTGGGAAAGGCAGAGAAGGTGGAGCAGTGGGGAGTTTAACAGCTGTAACATCTAGTATATACTTGTGATGTGAAGTCATGTTTTAGGATTCTAAAAAATGACTCCATCTAGTATGCGAGGGGATGTGACTCATCTGTACCTCGGCGGCCTTGGTGGCAGCCTTGTGCAGAGCCTCGGAGATGATGGTCGGGTGGATGCCCTTGCCCAGTAGGGAGAGGCACTCCTTGAGCAACGCTCCCGCCACCACCACCACTGCATGGGGGAGCGGGGAGGGGGGGAGGGGAGAGAGTGAGAGAACAGTGGTGCGCGAAAGACGGCGCTATGGCGAAGCAAGGGGCGTCAAGCCATCGAAGCTTCGGAGATGATTGTGGGGCGGAGGCCCTTGCCCAGCAACGATGAACACTGCCTCAGCAGTGCGCCCGCCCCGCCACCACCACCACTGCAGTCTGCAAGGGGGGGGGCAGCACTGGGGCCAGCACGGGGGGCAGCACGGGGGGCCAGCACGGGGGGCAGCACGGGGGGCAGCACGGGGGGCAGCATGGGGGGCAGCATGAAAGTGTTGTGCGGTGAACAGCATCAGAGTGTGGGAAGAGAAGCAGGCGGTTAAGTACAGTGAATGGAGAATGGAGAATGGAGAACGGAGAACGGAGAACGGAGAATGGAGAATGGAGAATGGGTCGAAACAGCGGAAATTCAGCAGCAGGGAGTTCCAAACGAGAACAGAGGAGCGGGAAACACGAACCTAGTGCTACAGCACTTGGCACGGAAACATGGAATCCAACGCCAACGGGCCGGGGTTTAAGCTTCCCCAACACCCATAACCCTGAACCATGAATTCCTGATCCACCTGTGGTGGTGCCGTCGCCAAAAACAATGTCCTGCGGCTTGGACGGCTAAACACGCTATCAGTGCGCTGGACCAGCAGTGACGCAAGTAGCTATAATGTAGACCCTAACCTCTAACCTCTACCTCTGACGTATCATTCCTGACCCACCTGTGCTGGTGCCGTCGCCTGCGACGATGTCCTGCGACTTGGACAGCTCCACTTGTAATCAGTGCCCCGGACCAGCAGGAAAATGACCACTACCTATCTCTAGCGCACTTGACCGACCTGTGGTGGTGCCGTCGCCTGCGACGATGTCCTGCGACTTGGACAGCTCCACCAGCATCTTCGCCGCCGGCTGTGTCACCTCCATCTGCACCGGGATCAACGGGCCACGGGCCACGAGCAACGGGCAACGGGCAACGGGCAACGGGCCACAGGCAACGGGGGGAGAATAGGGAATCGGCTGGCGTTAATGGCGCTGTATCGCAGTGGACGAGAACACGTGGGATGAATGAACGAGGATCGGGTCGCTAGAAAAAGCCCTGCTTCGAAAGGCTGCGGAAAGACATGTGGCAGCCGAGATGGCCGCCACGTGGAAACGGCTCCGGTCTGAATGGCAGGGAAAATGAAACTGCAGAGTACCAGCACGCATCTGTTAAATAAATAAAAAAACGCCGAGAAGTTCAAAAACTAGAGGAACATAAAGTAGATCTGTGAAGTGCGGATTACACGGGAGCACAGTGCAGCGGCAGCCAGCCGAATTCACAGAATCTGTTGACACTGGCAGGACCCAGGATCCGCACAACAGCTGGCTAGTCCAGTTGACATCCATTTTTGCACCCATCTCCGCTGAATTCTATATCACCTCCGCCGTCGCACCTTGTTGAGGATCGTCGCTCCGTCGTTGGTGATGATGACCTCGCCAGTGGCCGTCGTCAGCATCTTATCCATTCCTCTGGGCCCCAGGCTCGTCCGCACGGCGTCGGCGACAGCCTTGGCCGCCATGATGTTCGCCTGCCGGATGTCGTCCTTCCGGCTCGTATCCGAAAACGTCTCGCCTTTCCCCCCTCCTCCTCCTCCCCTCGCGGGGACTGGAACTACCTGAGCGGTCGCCATGCTGAGCCGATCCGATCGAGGGTTCTCGAGCTGCGAATCTGCCGAACGCTGATCTGATCAGGGGTTCTAACGCTGTGGATCTGGCGGGAGAGCGCTGAGAGGTGCTAGAAAGGCAAGTCGAAGTCGGGAGGCAAGCAGGACTGCGCTGTGCTGTGAGACGAGAAATGGAGGAGTGAGCAGATCGACAGCCCGCCTCGACGGAGGTTTGGAATGGAATCTGGAAGGCCGATGGCGTGATCTGTAATCTGAGCCGGAGAGCTCGACTAAGTGATGATGATTGCGTCATGCTGAATTCTGAATCTGAACCATGCACCGCACTGCATCGGACCATAACGCATCCAGTGACGAGGGAACGCGCATTTTTCGAAAGACATACTAGAATCAATAACATGCTTTTGCAGCCTTCCCCTAGCAATTGCTTGTAGAGCTTATTAGATAATAGAGAAGCATTACAAAACAATATGCCACCCTCTCATACCTAGCGATTTACATGTTTATTCAAGTCCAATTATGGACAAGGCATAAAATGAACTAAACAGTGGTGGAGACAACCAAGGAATCTGTGTAGCAGATCGCCTTGGTTGGACACCCCCCCAGGCATATAAGTAACTTAGACGAATCCATTCCAGTTCAATATCCATGGAAGCAGTGCAGATTTATCCGTCCCTTGAGTTTGCATTGGGGCCGAACCAGCAAGACTGGTCATGGGTTGCGATGTGCTGAGGGGAGCAAGGGCGGTGGACTGCATGGCATTGAAGGACATGGAGGCCGGCATGGAGTCGGAGATGGTTGCAGGTGAAGACGATGTTTCTGGGATGAAGTCTGGAAGGAAGACCCCTGGGATCTTTTGCAATTGCTCAAACTTCTCTCGGAGAAGCTTGGACACAGACGGATCCTCTTTCACCTGTTGAATACAAAGCAAAAGAACGTCAAATACGGACTAAAAAGACAACAATTGGCGCACGGAAACACAGAAGGAATCATGTGCATAAAAGACGACAGGGACAAAGGCGTACCGGGAGAACGGAACCGATCTGTACGGCTCCACCAGGAACTGGAATCACAGCGATAGTCTGCACACGCGATGGAAGATAGCAATTAGAGACACATTCATGGGCGAAAGGAAAAGCTCCACCAGCGAAACGCAACATGTGGACACGTTGGCAGCTGAAAACGCGGGAGGGAAAAAAGGAGGGTGAAAGTAAGGAGGGTAGATACCTTGATGCCTGACGCGAAATGCTCATCCCATCCAGGCGGGTGTTGGTTCTGCACGGAGTCGAGGGCATCTGCGCGATAGTACTTGGAGTCGTTGTACACCCACTCAGCTGCCTCCGCTGACACAGCCTGCCCCATCAACCTGCAGCAGACCGAACACGGAACGTGAGCATTTCCAGGAAGGTGGAAAGGAAACAAAAATCACACAGAAAATGCGGGACTTAACACTTCGCCACATGAAACAGGCTCGTAACAAGGAGCTGGCCCAAGCGAACTCACCCTTCGCCGTAGTTGTAGATCTGGTATGAGAACCGGAGGAAGCTGGCGTGCAGCTGCTTCCAGTCGTACGAGAGCTGCTCCAGCGCGGGGATCTGAGCGCTGCAGCCAGCAGCGCCGCCTACAGCAGCGTCCCTTAGCCGCTCCATCTGAGCGTCGAGCTTCTTCAGCACGGCTTGCGGAACGAGATACCCGTCCTCCCACATCAGAACCCTGCATAGGTGGCAGGAGAAAGAAATCGAAGCCATTGCGCAGAACGGACCATGAGATCAGAAAAAATGTAAAGAGAATGAGAACGCGCAACTAAAGGTAGCTTCGATGACTAAAGGCTTCAGGGAAATAAGGCTTCAGGATGACAAACCGGTCATGGAATGAACACTCACCACTCATCATCTTCTTGGCGTTTCATAATGCGATTTCCTCTTGACGGCACACTGTTGCAACCAACGACAGAAAACCGACGGTCAGCCAAAATGTAGGATATATGGGAATTTGAAACGACAGCAAGGAATCAAACTACAGGTCGGGGTCAGGTTCCACGTCGAAGACGTGATGCCATGGGTGGCGGACGAAAACACGTAACGGCAAGCTGAAGCGGTTACAAAGCTCTACCAGATCGTACATCCGAGCCCTGTCGCCTTACCTCTGCTGTGTGCGAGGTACAGCGCGCCGTTTCAACCTCCAGAACACCGAGTACGTCCAGCCGTTCTGTAGGCATATGTCTTTAAGAACCTGTCTCAATAGATACATCGGCTTCTGAGCTAAAACCATCCTCGTATTCTTCCCCGTGGAAGCCATTACTGAAGGAAGAAATTCGCTCTAATGTGAACCCTAGCTCGAGAGACTGATATGCTTGCGTCACGAGGAGGTACCGTAGCAGTCGGGGAGCCAAAGAAACTAACTGCTGGGATAGAATTTGTCGCAGAGAGGAGCTAATGCTCAGGGGAATCGTAGAAACCCTAGCGAAGTAGTCTCACAATAGTGGAACTGACTCGTTCACAGAATGATTATCCCTCTTCCTGGACTAGCAGGGTCAGGAGGAGGACACAGGAGGAGATGGTGGAAAGCACCATCAAAATGGTCAGCGACAGAATCGCAGAATCTTACAGAGCAACAGGCAACAATGGTTGTTTGAGGAACAGTCAATTAGCATGAGGTTTCGGTTGCCATAATGCCATCCCATCAGGCGCTTCACGCCTCAAGCACAGCCCAGGCAGCTGCAGCCCTGGAGGCAGCACGCCTCTTGGTTGGCTGGGAACAAACGGCGAGTGGATAGAGAGCTGGATGGAGGGACAATTTGGAAGGTGAAGGTGGGAAATTTTAGCCACTCAACCATTGGGCTTGTCGAACCCGAATCCGAACCCAGTGGTGTTCCATTCCACCCGAACCCAGTGTGGGCATTGGGGTTGTAGGAAGAACAATGCAGAGCATTGGGCCCAATTGCTGAAACAAAGCAGAGCAGAGGACTCCTTTCCACCGTCAATTCCCCTCCAGCTAAGGGAGGTCGACAGGGCAGAAAAAGCTTCTACAAGAATCCTGACCAAGTGATTCTAGGCAATCATTGCACCGCGATGCGCAAGCGTAGGTTTGGCGACACTTCGGAACTGTTTACAAGCTGTTCACGCGGTCATCACAAAATCCCGCGTCATGGGATGGAACCAGATCCTGTGCTTGTTCGAAAAGTCCCACCCACCTCCCTACCGCTTCTGTCACAGTAGTCACTGAACCGAACCCAACTCCTTGAGCACAGCCATTGGTCTCCCACCAATGCGGGCCAAGTAGAGTTTTTGATGAGTACTAGGCTGGAAGTTGGGGGTGACCTCAAGTCAGTTACAATGTGTTACAGCGTGGAGAATGGTAGATTTTCAGATAATGTGCAATTTAGTGGGAGCTCCATCTTATAGGATACTGAGGACGCGGTGCTTTGCGCTCGATTGCTAAGTCTGTTTCTCTACAGGTTACTGTTTTTTCGGGCTTGCAGAAAGGCCTCGCAAAGTTTTGACGAGAACAAATATTCTAAGGGCGAGGGTCGTGATTCGTGAAGCCCCCTGGCTCACTGCTGTTGGGTTCGAACAACAATCGCCCCAAAAGGGCGTATCCAGCGCGTATGTTTACAATTCACTTATACGGTTCAGTATGGTTCTCAGAGTTCCGACGTGGTGAAAAGGGAAAACCGCTCCTGATCGCGATAGATCCTACAAGACCGTGATCCGTGTACTGTAAACGTACGCGCTGGACACGCCCTATGTGATGAAGGCTTGGTTTTTAATGCTGACGTATTTGTGCCTGACATTACAGGTGGATTTTGAATATTTCTGAGCAGGTGAACCTTCCCCGGTCTGCCACCAACTTCCGACGCCCGCAACCTCGCTGGCGAAAGCTGGGAGAAATCAAACAGCCTGTAGAATCGATCAGGAAAATATCGCTGTTGTACCTCGCTGCTGTTTCACCTGACTTGCAGGGTAACCGGGTGTGCTTGAGTGTTCGACGCACACTGACTGACATGTCGCGGTCGCGGCTACGTATCAGTGGCGGTTGTCAGCGTCACTTACGGGTCACCACACATGTCATGCCAAGATCTGACAGGCTCATGAGATTGAGGAACTCTGCAAGGGCGTGTACACCTAACCCGCGGTATTTTTACACCCTGAAAATGGATAGCAAACGTTTGGCGTATCCTGATGGTGTGAAGTTACTGGGGCGCGAAACGCCCGAGTATCTTCACAGGGGTAATCCACCGAACCAAAAAGGTGCCACGCTGTCGCAACCAAGGCTCCCCTGGTGGAAATGTCGCACTGGATTGGAATTTCAATGCACCGCCCAAATTTCGTGCGTTCATTGGGTGTATTTTTATCGAGCCAATTAGAAGGCATGCTGCTGATTTCATTTGAATTGGTCAACTCCGATGTGGCAGCTCTACAGTACTGTCGGTGCTTCCAGAAGCGAGTTTTGTTTCTGCTCCCCCCTAATGACGCGCTCCTGTGCGCAGAGCCACAAAAATCGATATGTCGTCACCAATTCCGAGCCTATTCAGGTGGCACTTTCTCTAGCGGGCCTGGGGCCGCCCATTTCAGTGCGCCCCGAACTGTTGAAGCTTGACCGCCCCACTACGCGACATAGGGTGTGAAAATACTAGGTGTGAAAATACCGCGGGTTAGGTGTAACAAGTGTTGGGAAATCCCGCGACGTCCCAGCGTCGTACAGTGCGGCGTTGCTTGATTCAGAAGGTTCCTGAAGGTTTGGAGGCGGTGCTTCGATGTCACATCCTTGCACATGTTGCATTATCAAATTCTAAACTGTAGCATTTCAATGAAAATGTTCGTTTAGGTTTGATACAAAATTAATGGATACCTCCGTTAAGCCGCCTGCCGTAAATCCGCTAGAGAATAGCGGAGTTGGTTAAATCGAGGAAAAGGCACGGCGGAAGACTTTGGCGAAGAAGTTGTTGGCAGGGCTGATTTTATCAAACTATTTTAGTATGATTGTCTGAAATTTCAGACAATTTTTTTGGCCGATCCTGATTTTTCAGACTTGCCATTTTCTGAATGCTGAACCCCTCAGAGTTATATGTCTTTGAATCCTGAGAATCTCAAACTTCGCAGTTTGCGCATGCTGAGTATTCAGAGCGCAGTGCGTACGGACCCTGAGACAGATATGCGAGTACTGCACCTACCTGCCCTCACCCAAAAAATTCGTCCAAGTCCCCTACGGCCAGAGTCTAGTCCTTTCACACACACCCCGCC